ACGAGGATGCTCATGCAGTTGAAGTTTAGCATTCTTGCAAGAGTGCAAGATAAGCTTCAGCAAGAGAGTCTCTCTTCTCTCTGCAATGCTCAATTTCTGTACTAACATCAAATGACTGTATTGCTTTGTGAAGCCAAAATAAGAAACGCACAATGGTTAGAACATCTAAAAGTCACCAAAAGATAACCTGGTAGCAAGGGAGGAAATAAAATGCAAAAGTTCTGCTTCTCACTACTTATTAATCTAGTTTAAACCTAGAATGATAATCCAAACAGATTCCAGGATGATCCTGAGTTTGTGCAACAGCTCAGTCTGAAGTTAAACCGCAATGCCAACACAGCTTTAACGTCACAATTCTGTAACTGATTGTTTCAGTATATACTATGGCCAGTACAATGTCATTAATTTCTTGCTATTGTTTTGAATATTCTGGTTATAATTGTGCTGTAGTAATCAGTGGTGTTGAATGAGCTGTGATTGTGCAGTTACTAGAATCTACACACTGAAGCCCTTGTTGAAAAGATCACCCTATTGCAATCGTGTGTTAGGACAAAAAACATCACGCTAATTAGACTGGACAGCAAGCTGGCAACAGTAGTGTGGTTTTGTACATACGTGTTTTCACCCAGTGTTACAGAATTCTGACCTGAATGTGAGAAGAAAGATGACATTATGGGAATTATTCCCCAGCTGTTACATTCCCTAAAATACCATGTCAGTTCAACAGATGTCCGCTCCTTCCAAAGATGGAACAACAAATTGGTTTGTATCTGTTTTTACTGAATCATAAACTTCTGTAATTATTCGTATTTTCAACTAAACTCTTGGCTGTGCAAAGTGAAATTTGAAATCCATGTAAAATGCATTCAGTGATGAGAAGTTTGTATGTTTTCACTGACAACTGAGATGAAAATGTGCCCTTTGCAGGCTTTCATTTTAAAGTGACACAATAATAAACTACATTTTATCTCAGTAAAAGTATCTAAACGTAAGAAAAGGAACAGTTCCTTGAGTCTGTCTTGCTATTCGGTGAGATTTTGATCAGCATTGATTACTGATCAATATCCCAAATCTCTATTTACTTGAATATATACCATATCCTTTTAAAACTAACAAAAAATAAGTCACTGGTTTTCTATTGTCCTAGTCTCAATAACTTTTAGAAAGTTCCAGGCTTCTATTATCCTCTAAAGAACTGAGGCTGCATGCTACATGATCCTACCAGGTATGTTTTTTGGCAGTGGGGAAGCAGACAAAACAGGGCAGGAGCCCTGCCCTACACACTCCAAGCTCACCCCACCATATGGACAGTAGGTGGCTGTTGAAATAAATAAGGATTAATTGAGCCAACATTGCGTTGCTTATGCCATAATGTGTCTGGTGCAGGCAGCTGGATGGGAGTAGGCAATCTTGTTTTTTTTTTTTTTTTTGCAAAATGCAGTAAGGAGGGGTCTACTGTCTATAGTGACTTTTTGTGCATTGGGAGCACCTTCTCAGAAGCTAGGATCCTCTTCCTCCTTCATGCAAAATGTAAAACTCCACCCCTTAAACTCCCCACCCACCATTCACCAGGTCACCAGAATCCCACCTTCCACCACTTCCATAAAAAAATCAAATAAGGATTAATAAGCAAAATGAATAATCATGTGCAATCCTTTAATGCAGAGATTCCCAAAGAGTGGGCCATGTGGAAATGAAGAGGAGGATTGACTCATGAGCTCTGGGGTTAGCAATGCCTGTGGTGGTGCTCTGACTGCTAACAGTGGAGAGGTCCCATTTAACCCTCCGTGTGTTTAAAATGGGTATGGCCTAGCTGACTGCCTGATTTCTCTTTGAAAAAAGTTAACAAAAAGTAAGGTGCAATGCTTCAACAGAGGCCAGTATCCACCCCTCTACCAAATCCAAGTCGCCATTCATCAGAGGCTGCACTGAGGATGTTACCAAGCATGGTATCGAAACATCTGCGGAACAACAAACCAGCTCACCGAGCCAACCAACCTCAACACCCACAACCCGAGCTACAGATCTACTCCAAAACCTTAGAATCAAGTCACCCCTTATGAACAGACCTTTGACCATAGTACTGCCTCAGTCAGGTACCAGAGTGTCAGTATCCCTGACCCTTGCCCTTTTTATATGTCAGCTGGGGTTCTTTTAATCTGGCCCAATCAGGGAATTCCTATTCCATAGGAAGCCCAATGATCTTTTGGGGAAGGAAACTGCCACCCCTACACGATCTGGCCTATGTGACTCTGTACTGATGGCAATGTCGTTGATTCTTAAATGGCCTCTGGGCAACTGGGGATGGAAATAAATGCTGGTGCTGCCTTCACCCTGTAAAATGATTTTTCTTTTTTCTAAAAAAAAAAGAAAAATCAAATATGGATGGTAGAAGGCTACTTTTGTTTCCATTTGAGAATCCTGCAACTGGCTTGGGAGACAACCTCTCTGGGTCTATTGGGCAATGGTTACTGACTGCCATTCTGTTAGTGGAGGCTGTAGTAGCCTGGTTGGTTGCTGTCTTCTGTCCTTTGTCCTCTCTCTTTTTGGCTGATTTTAGGCAACAGAGGTTCTGGCAACCAAGCAGCTATTTTTGCCTTCCTGGAAGGAAGGTCCCTCTCGCTTAGAGACTACACTACCACCTCCCTCCCACCCAGCTGAGGTAGCTCCTAATGTTTCCCAGGGTCTTGATTCCAAAGACAAACTATTTTTGGTGATACTATATTTTTAAAATAAGATTTAAGGCTGTAACCTCTTGACATTTGAAGGGGGTCAGGCCGCACCATCAAGGTGAGGAGAAGCCACAATTGAATGGAACAGGCTGAAGTACAGTGGGAAAGTCAAAACAAAAGTGCGATCACCTGGAATGGAGAGACATAACTTGCCAAGTCACTACCAGAGAAGCCACCTCCAGTTGCCTGATATTTTAGTCTCTAAATTACACCTCTTTGCCCCCACACCTGCAAACTAATCTTGCCTCCTCCACAATAATATTTCCTCTCCTCGCTTGACCTTAAATCGTGTTGGTCCATGATGCAGTTTTTCTCAGCAAGTGATTGAGAGAGAGAAAGCAGCACTTTTTTTTTCTTCATCAATTACACTTGTCTTTTGCCTTGTAGTTGTGGTACAACACAGCACACCTCTTGCATGTCAAATCAAGTCCTCCATGCCTTCAGTAAATTGGTCCCATCAGCATTTTTGGTCGAAATGCAAACACTCAAATTCACCTGAAGTAGTGAGAATGAAACAAATGTGGTAATGCTAAGTATTGAATTTAGTAAAAGGTCTCAATTGTGTCATTTCCATTTCAATATTTTTACCACATTGAGAGTCTCTCTTTTCTTACTGAAAATGTCAAGATTGTACAAGGAATTTTAAAATAATTTGGTGTCATATTATTTTTGGTTCCATGTAATTATTGTTGTGCCCTGCCAGAGTATATCTGGAGAAGAAGTAGTGTTTGGAGTACACCTTCAACTGCTGTGAGACAGGTTGGACTGCAGCATCGATGCCCAGAATATTACTGTATTTTAACTTTTGTTAGGATAATGTGGAAGTGCCTCTGCTTTGGTGGGGGTGGGGTTGTTGATTTTTTTTTTTGTATGGTTAATTACACTTTTTGAAATGATAAGTGAAATCACTCTTTGAGACTGATGCTCAAAGATTGCAATAGTCATACAACTCTTTGCCATGTGAATGAATCTCTTATGAATTGAAACATAGAAAATAGGAGCAGTAGTGGGCCAATCAGCCCCTGTTTCTGCTTTATCTCCCATCCTCCATGTCCTTTTAGGGAAGGTAATCTGACAGCCTTACCTGGTCTGGCCTACATGTGACTCCAGACCCACAGCAATGTGGTTGATTGCTGAACTGTCCTCTGGGCAATTGGGGATGGACAACAAATGCTGCCTGGCCAGCAAAACCCTCATCCCATGAATGAATAAAGACTACTTGGTTCCTTTTTAGCCCTAAGACCTATATTTAACTCCTCCTTCAAAACATTCAATGTTTTTTGGCTTCTATTATTTTGTGTGGCCAAAAATTTCACCGACTTGCCACTCTCTGGGTGAAGAAATTTCTTCTCCTCCTTCGGTCGTAAATGGCATCTCCTCTTGTGCGTGGGGACCCTGCAGCCTTCAGGACTCTAATATTAAAGATTTTTAAATAATTTTAGGGCCTCAATACCACCACCTATGCCCTCTTCCCTCACTGCTTTCCCCCACCCCTCACTCTGTGTCTTGACATGGGCTGATTTCAGCACAGCCAATCCATTTTCACCTCCTACTGTCCCCATTCTTTTT